AGGCTTAACAGGAAAGGAAATCTATCGGACCCTATTAACACCTATAGGGGAGTTAGGCAGGGTTGCGTACTAGCCCCTTCCCTGTTTAATCTATATATTAATGATATAGTAAGTTACTTGGACTCCCCCAGTTTACATCCACCAAAACTTCAACAACAGCATGTGTCTATCTTACTGTATGCCGACGATGCTGTCATCTTAGCCAGAACACCAGTTGGCCTTAGAAGAGCTCTCAGTAAGTTTGCAGACTTTTGTAACAATAAGGAACTAACAATAAATTTTCAAAAAACCAAGGTTAAGGTCTTCGGGACCAGACAAAAGAAACGAATCTGGTCTGTAAATGGGCATTCATTAGAGCAGGTTTCCTGCTTTAAATACTTAGGTATGGTCCTTCAATCAAATGGGGCTAGGAAAGCCCATATACAGTATGTTGCCTCCCAAGGTGAAAGAACAGCCAATGCTATTCTTAAGTTCTATCGCACCAAAGGGGCTTATTATGTGCCAGCTGCCCAAAAACTCTTTCAAGCAAAGGTAGTTGGACAGATGCTCTATGGCACTTTTATTGGGCCTCCTTCCTCTAGTTTTGCCCCCTTAGAGTGAGTTCAGTCCAAATTTTTCAGAGCAGTTCTTCAGGTCCCAAGGTGTGTATCGAAGACACTGATCCATCTAGAGACAGGTGTTATATCAGTGGAAGCCAAAATTACTTTAGCTTCACTCCAGTATTGGCTTAAACTAAATTTCCATCCTCAGGGACTAACCCACTTGTTACTCTCAGACAACTTTCAGCCTGACTGATTGACTGACTGATAATAGCAATACATCTTCACAGCCATAATTTCTGTATCCAGGCAATCCTAGTAAATAGTATGTTCCGTATAGGTCTTTCTAGAATTATTTAAGCCCACATATCATAGTGGCTTCTATGAGAAGGAGGGACTCAGAGGAAGAATGTATTAAATTTTTGTTGGTGGATGCTATCCCAGACATTAGAAGAGAAGAAGAAGAGATTGGATTTATACCCTGCCCTTCACTACCCAAAGGAGTCTCAGAGCGGCTTACGAACTCCTTCCCCTTCCCCTCCCCACAGCAGACACCCTGTGAGGTAGGTGGGGCCGAGAGAGCTCTTTCCAGAAGTCCTTGAGAGAACAGCTCTGACAGAACTATGGCTTGCCCAAGGTCATCCAGCCACTGCAAGTGGAGGAGTGGGGAATCAAACCCGGTTCTCCCAGATTAGGCCAGGGTGGGCCATTCTCCTCAGCTATTGCCACAGTGTGCCCCAGCAGCCATGCCTGGCCGAGGAGGACTCCCAGCTTGACCTGGGCATGTTTCCGGCTCCACTGGGCACGGATCAAGTGAGGGTGGACTCGGGGTGGAGGGGCAGGGGGGCGGGGAAGACTCAGGGTGGGACATCTGCCCCAGGGAGCCCCACCATGGCCACAGCCTTGATTCTGTAGCATCTGATTGAGGGATGCCATCCTCCAGGTGGGACCTGGGGACCCCCCAGAATTACAGCTCATCTCCAGACTACAGAGATCAGTTCTCCTGGAGAAAATGGATGCTTGGGGGGGGGGCTTTATGGCACTGTGCCCCACTGAGGTCGTTGTCCTCCCCAGAGAAGAAGAAGAGATTGGATTTATACCCCGCCCTTCACTACCCGAAGGTGTCTCAGAGCGGCTTACAAACTCCTTTCCCTCCCCTCCCCACAACAGACACCCTGTGAGGTGGGTGGGGCTGAGAGAGCTCTTGACAGAAACTGCTCTTTTTCAAGAACAGCTCTTATCAGAACTACGGCTTGCCCGAGGTCATCTAGCCAGGTGCAAGTGGAGGAGTGGGGAATCAAACCTGGTTCTCCCAGATTAGAGTCCGCACACTTAACCACGACACCAAACTGGCTCCATCCCCAAATCTCCAGGAGTTTCCCAACCTGGATCTGACAGTGCTACCCCTCCATTGTCCTGCCAGGGGATGGGGAGAGGGGGCAGGACCTGGCAGCCTTACTCTGATGACATAATTACCTCCTTTCGCCATGAATTGATACCAATCACCTCTTGCTGTGGCCAGACGCAAAAATGCACCGGAGGATGTAAAAATAAGCTAGAGCTAACAGCAGGGCCTTTTTTGATATAAAAAGCCCAGCAGGAACTCATTAGCATAATAGGTCACACCCAACAGCAGAAACGCATTAGCATATTAGGCCACACCCTGACCGTGCAGCTAATTAGCCTGTTAGGCCACACCCCCATGCCTTGGCCCTGGGCACCCTGCGGCCCAGGTAAGCTGGCCCTTGGACAGGCCAGGGGAGGCATTTAAATGCCTCCCCGATCCTTCCAGGGCCCCCCCGACCCACCCACCTTGGAGTTGCCAGGGGGGGTCTCTCTCCAGGCCTTCCCTCTGTAGCCAGGCACGCAGAGGTTTTGGCTGTAGTGGGCGTGGCCAACTCTGAAGCCAGCCGGAACGCCGTTCCTGTGCGCTCCTGCCCCAAAGTGGCCCTGGCTAACAGGAAAACCCAGAAAGTTGGAAGTCTGGAGAAGGAGATGGCCACACAGTAGAGACGATGATCTTACTATCTGGCTGCGTGGCCTAAAGTAAGACACATCCCACTCTACGGTCACCGTAAACGTCTTGCATAAAAACAGTTCCTTTATTCTCGTAAGTGGAAGGTTGTTTTCTAAGAATGCAGTCCTCACGCTCTTCAGAATATCTTTGGGTAGATTCAACGGAACTGGGTGAAACTCCCAGAACTCTTTGCTTCCCTTTGCATCTTCCTGTTCACCTCCCCCGGCTCTCTGATTAATCCGAGACTTACCTACGAGTCCCTCACACCTTTGTTCAGTATGACCCACGGCCAGGAAGGTAGCTGCTGCTGCAAGGAGGAGAACAAACCTGGAGGACGGCATCCTTCTAGACCAGCTGAACAAAGAAAAAGGGTTTTCGCCAAATGAAAACAGCACCGACTTAATTTTATTGCCATCACTAGACAGCAAATGTATCTCATTTGCGCTCTTGACTGAATACGATTTGTTTGCACTTCTGAGTGAATACAATTAGTAACCTGATTTTGATTTGCCAGGCCAATAATTCTAAATTAAGGTAATTTCAAAGGGCAGAGTCTTACCTAATGTAAGCAAATGGGACTTTTAGCCTCTGCTGCCTCACAATTTTATAAAATGTTTACTTCCTTTCAATGTGTTGGTACTACTCATAAAGGTAAAGGTTCCCTTGCTCGAAAGCCAGTCAAGTCCTACTCTAGGGTTGCGGTGCTCATCTCCGTTTCAAAGCCGAAGAGCCAGCGCTGTCCGAAGACGTTTCCGTGGTCATGTGGCCGGCATGACTAAACACCAAGGTGCACGGAACGCTGTTCCCTTCCCACCGAAGTGGTACCTATTTATCTACTTGCAATTTCTTGCTTTCGAACTGCTAGGTTGGCAGGAGCTGGAACTAGAGACGGGAGCTCACTCCGTCATGCGGCACACTCGGGTCTTGAACTGCTGAACTACCGACCTTCCACAGCCTGCAGTTCAGCGTCTTAACCACTTGAGCCACCGCAGCTCCTTACTACTCATAAGGACGTATTATAAGAACATAATAGTCCATCAAGCTGAGCATCATGTCTCATACAGTGGCCAACAAGTTCCTCTGGAGGGCCAACAACAGGGCATAGAGGCTGAGGCCTTCCCTTGTTGTTGCCTCCTTACTCTGGGATTCAGAGGCTTAGTGCCTCTGAATGTGGAGGTTCCCCTCAGTCCCCACGGCTGGTAGCCATTGAAAGACTTCTCCGCCATGAATCCAGCTAATCCCCTTTGAAAGCTGTTTATTCCTGTGGGCATCATTACATCCTCTGGCAGCGAATTCCACATTTTAATCACTCTCTGTGTAAAGTAGTCTTTCCTTTTGGCTGTTCGGAACCTACTGCCCCATCAGCTTCATTAGATGTTCTAGTATTTTGGGAGAGGGAGAAAAAAATTCCTTTTGTCAGTTCTCTCCGCTCTGTTCATAACTTTATAAACCTCTACCATGTCCCCCCTTCGTCGTCTCTTTTCTAAACTGAAAAGTCCCAGGCTCTTCACCCTTTCCTCATAGGGAACGTGTTCCAACTAGGGATGCCATTCCCCAGCTGGGGGCAGGCGATCCCCCAATTTTCGGGCCTCCTCCCTACCACCGGCCAGCTGGCCAGTGCGGGAAAAATCCTGCCCCCAAATGCGATGTGATGATATCACACAATAGTGACATCCCGGTGATGCCATGCGGAAATGCACTGGGTTTTTTGGGCAGAACTCTATGGTAATCATAGAGTTTTGCCCCAAACACCACAGCATCCCCCCGCGACATCGCCGACATGATAATGTCGCTTCTGTGTGGTGTCATTACGTTGCACACAGGTTGCATGCTCCCTCTTCCCCATTCCTGGAAGAAGAAGAAGAAGAAGAGATTGGATTTATACCCCGCCCTTCACTTGGAGTCTCAGAGCGGCTTACAAACTCCTTTCCCTTCCCCTCCCCACAACAGACACCCTGTGAGGTGGGTGGGGCTGAGAGAATTCTGACACAAACTGCTCTTTTTCAAGGACAGCTATGCCAGAGCTTGTGACTGACCCAAGGTCACATCAGCAGGTGCAAGTGGAGGAGTGGGGAATCAAACCCGGTTCTCCCAGATTAGAGTCCGCATACTTAACCACTACACCAAACTGGAAAGTCCCTCCCCCGCTGCGGGGTCAATCCGACCTGGCGACCCGAGCTACAACCCCCGAATCATCTTGGTTGCTCTCTTCTGTGTTTGTTCCATCTCTGTTATTACTGCCAATCTCTTAAAGTGATATCCAATCTCCCGCTTTTCATTCTATTGAAATCTATTCTTTCTGATGCCCGTCTGGCAGTAGTAGTATTTTGGGTAAATGATGATCATATTTATGCATTTACAAAATTTGTCTCCCGCCTTTCTGCTCTTACAACGGCCACCAAGACAGCTACCAATTTAAAACATACATGCAAGATTGAGTTAATTAAAACAAAACAATAGTTTGCAGAACAACATTACAGCCTAATGCTATACATGCTTACTTGGAAGTCAACTCCATTGATTTCAATGAAACTTACAAGTAGATGTACAGACTTAGGAAGTTTAATCTACCTTGTTTAGAGAAGTGAACATGAATTACCTTCTTTGTCCAATGTACTGAAGTATTTCTATTAGTATTGAAGAAAAGTGTCAATTTATAGGGTGGCTTCAATTGATCTGTGTGGTCATGCTTACTTGCTTGTTTGGTTATGTTTGATCTTCCCTCCCCCTATTTTATTTACACAGTCCCTTTGTTACGGAAAAGATTTTGTTGAGGCAAAATGGACATGAGACAATATTGACCTCCTTTCTTACAGAAATAAGATCCAGAGCAGTGGGTGAAACAGCCTTTGGGCAGGACAATAATACCTTTGGAAAAAAATATTTCTGCTGAGAATTGTTGACAAGCTATTACATTTCCATAGGACTTGAATCTTATCCACCAATAATTATATGTTCAGTGCAGTTTTCAGAGTTGGAGAGGGGAAAATAAATCCAAGCCACATAAGCTACAAGATGTTCTCTGTAGGTCTTTATTTAAAGTATACATCATTTGTATGTATGATTTCTCCACAGCTCCATAAGTAGGCACACTGATGACTGGAACTAAAAGATTAGTAGTAATCTGACACACTTGACCTAGAACATGCAATAGGGGAGGACATACCATTTCCTTGATACCTGAGGCACAACAAAGGTAAGAACGTAGGTGACTGTCTTGGTCAAGCATGCTGTCTTCTGTCCTGAGATCAACACTCTGGGCACGTTTGGCCTTGAAGGTAGAAATGTATCTATTTTTATTTACTCCATTTATACTAGGGGTGTGCATTCAGCAAAGCTGAATGGAATAAATACCCGAAAAATACCTTATCGGTGTTTTTTTGGTATGTATTCGGTCAAATCAGATTCTCTAATCTGATTCAGCTGCTGAAAAGCTGCTCCCAAATAAAAACTAATCTTATTTGGCTTTTATTCGGGTGTGCATCCGCGAATCAGGGAGGGAAGGGGAAACAGATTGGGGGGGCATCTTTAAAAGCCTCCCCGATTTGTCTTCGCTTCCCCCAGTTGGCCTGCCATAGTGGGGCGGCTGGGAAAGCAAGTCAGTTTCACTCCCCTTTGCTTGGAAGTGGAGGGGAGTGAAACTGATTCGCTCTACCTCCCATTCCCTTCCCCAGTCAGCCTGCCCCGGCAGGGCAGCTGGGGACAGGAAGGCCGCAGCAGCATGGTTGGGGGAGGAAGGGGGAGGCACTTAAATGCCATCCCCCCTCTGCTCTCCAGCCAGGCCCCCTCTTCTCTGGAGTTGCATTGCAGCAACACAATTTCTCCACTGTACCCTATGGGGCCACAGGGTACAAAGAGAGATTGTGCCGCTGCTGTGGTGTGACTCACTTTGGACCAGCTGGGGAAGTGAAGCGGGGGGGGGAGTGGGTCAGTTTCAATCCCTGTTAAGTATCCACACAATGTTGATATGCAATTGATATGCAATTGTTGGTAATGTTTTTCTTTATATTTCTTTGCATGGCCTAAAGACACGGACTCATCCTAACCAATGGAAGCACTATGGGTGCTAACTTAGGGTGAAGGGGTGTTATGTATGGACAGGAGGTTATGCATTTACATGCACTTGCCTAGGATACAGTTCTATATGATATTAGGCTGGAGCTTCAGGCACAAGCTCCATAGACACCAAGGTATTGTAAACCCGGCTGTCGGACTGGTCCCTGTGCGAGACAGACCAATCCAGGGGACTCTGATTCTGGTGGGAACGAATCCGATTGGTCCCAAGCCGGCAAAGGGGATTATTACATTCTTACACTGTAATGCTGCAAGTATGCCTGAGCTTCTGACAAGGCTCTATAGAAGCCTGGTATTCTAAAGTGCACGTTCTGATTGGCTGCTTTGCACAGTGGGCCAATCAGAGAATGGTTCTGGAGGGAACACCCCCCATTGGCTGTTATGTACACATTGTGATTGGTTGTTAGCTGTTTTGGGGGGCGTGGTTTGGACCATCCAAATCATATATAAGTCAGCTTGGGTTCCATGTCTTTTCATCTTGGAAGTCTCTGTCTATTCTTGTGTTGTTATGAGCTGAATAAACATGAATCACTTGTTTAAGAGCTGCCTTGACCTCAGTTCATAATAGTTCCCCTCCACATGGAAGAGGAGGGCAAGTGAAAACTGACACAGCTTTAATGGCCAGCCGAATATTTTTGGCAATGCCGAGTATATCCTGAATACTGGGATTCGAGAATATCAGTATTTACCAATATTTTTCGGGTTTGATGTGCCTGAGCCTGAAAAATACCGATTCCCCACCCCCCTTGCACACCCCTAATTTATACCCTACCTTTCTCCCCAGTGGGAAGCCAAAGAGGCTTACATTGTTCTCCTTGCCTACGTTTTATCCCCAAAACAACCCAAAACTGAGACCATGTGACTAGTCCAAGGCCACCTCAATCTTAGTCCAATGCTCTAACCACTACACCACAATGGCTTTCTGAAATAGATGAATCATCTGCCACCATACTCTCCTGAACTAAAATTACACCCTTTCATCCCCCTGTCTGTTCTTCAGCTACATTAAGTCTTAAGAATGTTGTGGGATGTATCCCCCTGTATTTGTATAATCTTGATAGCCCTAGCCACCGTAGAGCGTTTTCTCTTGCTCGAGTAAATGCCTTTCCATCTAAACTACTGTATGGTAGGTTTCAAAATATTCCTAAGCATGAACAAAGATGTGACTGTGGTTCTAACTCTCTTGATTCAATTGATCACATATTGTTAGACTGTTCGTGGCATGCATCTGCTAGGGAAAAATGGTTAAACACTTGCTTGCATGGTAAACATCACCTTTCCAACGAAATAAAATGCCAATTTCTATTGAACGATGTAACAGCAGAGATTACTGTGGCAGTGGCCAATTTTTTAGTTGACGTGATGAGAGTGAAAAATTTGGGAAAGTCTGTTTCATGATTTTATAATTAACCTAGACTTTTAGTTGATTGTGTCATTTTCTGTCTTTGATTTTTAAGGTTGTATATGCCATTAAAGGTTTATTGATTGATTGATTGATTGAACTAAAATTACAAGATCCTGTGCAACAGACCACCTTCAACCGGGGCCCAGTTCAGATGTGGTGCCACTCTTTAGTGGGGAGGGGAGGGAGAGCTATGCCCTCCCCCCCCCCACTATCACTCCACCGACACATGTAACGGGACATATGGCTTCGCCATGTGAATGATATGAATGGCCGGTGGATGTCAGCACACGGACACTTTGATTAGCTCCATTCAAAGAATCCTGGGATTAGACGTGGTATCACTATAGCAACAGGAAAGCCTGGAGGCAAGGAGAATATTGGCAATCTGATTCTTTCAAGGAGATCAATAAAAATATGGATACAAACTGGAAAAAAGTTGCTTTTATTTAAAAATTCAATATTTCATAACAATAACTTTAAACAGTGAGTGACGTTTACATTCGCTCTGAACTGTGTTGGGGGTGTGGGGGTGTGGGGAAGAGGAGGAGAAAAGAAAGAAAAGTGGGTATGAAAGTGGAGATGGATGCAAGAACTGGTGCTGCTCCAACAAGCAATACCGTCCCCCTGCCATGCAAATCTTGGCACAACATAACACAGTCAGTGCAGTACTGCATCCTTCTCACAAAAGGGCTTTTAAGAAGCTATGCTCTCTTAACTGTAACAGCTTTCATTTGCCATTCCTATCCTTCTAATGGTTTCCAAGAGTCCAGGTTGGCTTTCTTCCAACTGTGTCTGACCCACCTGCTTAGGAGAACAAAACAAACATCCACTCTTGGGCATGTCAGGTTGACTGTAGAATATAAGCACAGCTACACAACGGCCCTGGCTGGGTGTCCCTGTCCTTGGCCCATGGATATTTTCCATTGAGACCTCCCAGAAAGAATAGCAGGCTGCATTGGCTCTTTAACGCTTACTATCCTTTTGGACAGGTCTTGGCCACTAGGAGTCTAGCTTATAGCTCCATTTACTGGTATTGGGGTGTCCGTTTCACTGGGCTGCACACAGCAGGAGCCTATATGCAAGGATTTAAAGTTCATCTGTGAATATGACGTTGTTCCCTTCATGTAAAAAGGCCACAAAGGCTGTTAAGTAAATACAGGCAAGGTACAAAACATTGCTCAAGGCATAAAATGATGCTCAGAAGGTGTCCTTGTAGTTCAGAACTATACTAGGCCAGAGGCTTCTTTTGCACGTTGTATTCTTTGTTCTTGGTCATCTTCCGGATGATTAAGATTAACATCAGAATACCAAGAAGTTTGTAACCCACCTGGAGACCCAAGTACCTGTCGCGCAGGAAGTCATTATTATAGTAAGTGCAGGATCCTGACCTCCACCAGATGCACGCAGAGTCAATGAGTAAGCCGAAGAGGGCAGGAGACGGCAACCAAGCTAGCAATCTCATCAATAAGAACTGGACTCCGATGGCAAAGGACTTTTCATCATAGCTCACCACTCGTAACACCATCATGTAGACAGGGTTTTGAGTCAGGCAAGCTATCAGTGAAGCAAATGAGATCAGGAATGCAACAGGAAGCAGCAAATGGGCACATCTAATCGGGCAGGATTCTGCGTTCGCGGAGGATTGTCCAGCTGCCACAGGGATACAGGAGCAGTTTGTGTACATCATAACCACGTCTTGAGAAGAACTTGTGACGAAGCCAGTACAACCTGCCTGGCAGGGAGAGATGTACTCCACACCATCCTCTCCACAAATGGGGTGGAAGATGGAATCAGAGCAGAAGCACTGTTTGTTGCATTCATTCTGCATCGAGGGACTCGATGTCCTGTGGGGATAAATCTCGGCCACCGTCTTTGTGGAGCAGCCCATGAAGAAGAGAGGAAGGCAAGAAAGCATGGAGCAGAACAGCACGATGGCGGAGAACCGCGGGATGGTTTCCAGGGAGAAGCCGAAATGCTTCATGAGGATGCCTCCAGACAGCATTCCCAGAGCAGCAGCAGGCAGGTTGATGATGCCTATGAGGAAGTTTGCATAGGAAGAACTGGCCCCAAACTGTTTCTCCAGGTATTTGTTGAGGAAGGTAGTGAGGCCAGCGATGACTGAGGAGAAGCAGCACTGGGCTAGAACCAGCAATATGAAGAGTGGATTGAGAATCAGCCTGAGGAAGCCTTGAGGGAACTTTTTAATAAATTCCCACAGGGATACTTCTTCAGCCTCTGCTTTCTCAATCTTCTCCAAGGTGTCCATTTCAGATTCTATCTTCCCTTTGATTATACGAGGAAAGAAGAAATAGGGAATGGATGTGAGCACCAAGCAACCTGAGGCAATGAGGAGTCCCAACCACCATGCACCAATCCAACGCTGGTCTCCAGGATGCAAGTCTATAGTCTTCAGGTCAACTCTCCCAGCGTCCACGTAGATCTGCAGTGCTGCTGAGCCAAGGAGATATCCAAATGCTGGGCCAAACACTGATATGGCAAATAAGATTGCTATATATAAGGCAGAGTTATTTGGCTCTGCAAAATCATCCACATAGGAGATCCCAAAAGGCTGAATTGGGACACTCCCGATTCCTGCCAACAGCTGGGCAACGACCATCAGTCCCCACAACGAGCTTTGTTCTGACCGGGTATCTGCAGTGGAGTTTGTGACTGAGTGTTCATTCTTTCTAAGGCACATCTCAGCTGCGATACTGCTGTTCTTATCAAGGAAAGCTGCAGAGTATTCGTAGGGGGGCGAGATGAAGTGTGGAAGGGTCAGAAGGAAGGCTCCAACTGCCATCACCAGGCCTCCAAGACCTATTACCCTAGGCCGGTGAACTCGATTCCCGACGTAGCTGACAAAGATGATGAGGACGACATTGCCAATCTCGTGCAAGCTGGAGAGGAAGCCGGAGGAGAAACTGGAAAGGCCAAAGCGTTTCTCAATGGTTGTCAGGGTGCTCTTGAAGTATGCACTGTAGAGGAGCTGAGACAGCTGTAGCAGGCCATGGCAGAACACAAATACCTTTATCGCTCGAAACATCGGGAAGAGTCAGGAGCTACAGTCTGCATTGATACCTAGGCTCGGACCAAAATATCAGGCACTACCTGACCATGGTTCCCTCACAGAACCTTTAAAGACAGCAGTTAGAGCAAAAGAACCAGGGACAGGACAGCTCACGGAACCTTTAAAAACAGCAGTTAGAGCAAAAGAACCAGGGAAAGGACTGCCCCTGTGTCTTCAGCAGTGAGTCACCACTGCTGGTGTTAGGAGTCAGAACCCTTTATCCCTCTACCTAGGTGAAGAAAAGCCTCACTTCCTAGGGGCAGGAATGTCTGTTACTATCTGGTCGAGTTGTACTTCTTTACATCACTGAAATAACTAAACGATGCTGGATTGAGAGTATAATGTGCAAAGGGCTTTTCTGTATGCTCATTTCCCCCCGCTTGTAAGTTCCTGTTGCATCAGGGGGCCTGGTGTGTGTGTGTCTGTTCCACGCGTGTTTTTCTTCCTCTGGTGGCTGATTTGAGATCGCATCAGTTTATGTCTGGCATAAACCCCCCCCCCTTTAGTTTAAACCTGCAGGGAGATATTATATAATCATTTTGTGTGTCCAAGTTGTCTTCGGCTCATGGAAAGCCCAGGACTAAGAGGTTGTTCAAGCAAGAGACGAACAGAGATGATTTGCCATCGCCTTCCTCTGCATAGCAACCCCTGTCTTCCTGGGTGGTGTCTCATCCGAGTACTAACCGTGGCCAACCCTGCTTGGCTTCCAAGCTCTGCCGAGCCCAGGATTGCCAGGGGAATTCTGGCTGCTGACCCATATATATCACAACAAACAAGACCACGGTGTAAAATATGACTCTTATCATTCACCCCAATTACGCAACAACATACCATATGGACCATTATTGAGACTTAAAAGAAACTCCGCACTTCGCTCTGATTATGAGCAGGACTCTAAGAAAATGATGGGTCAGTTCTTAGACAGGGGGTAGGGAGAACATATAGTCTATTCTGCTTACTCTAGAGCTAACAAAATAAATAGAATGTCCTTATTACAGAACAAAGCTGAAATAGATAGTAATCGCATTCAGTGTGCTTTTCAATACAATCTCTTAGCAAAACCTATACGAGTCATTATATTAAAGCATTGGCATCTACTTAGTGAGATTCCTGGGTGCTCCTTGACTCCTGTGATAGGTTTTAGAAGAACCAGAAATTTAGGAGATGTTTTGGTCCATCCTGATATGAGTAGACAACATAATATAGTTCCAGTCAGAGTGGGACACTTTAAATGTGGGAAGAGTTGTAATGTATGTTCACTTTATATTGTAGGTTCTGTTTTCCAGCATCCTACCAGTGCAGAGCAAGTGAAGATTAATCATTTCAGTAATTGTAATACCTCTAATGTGGTATATGCCTGTGTATGTGTATGTAAATTGATCTACATCAGTACAGGACCTATAAAAATTCGCATTCAGGAACATCTATCTCGTATTAGGAACCAGGTGGAGTCTGCTCCAGTGTTTGCCCATTTCAAAACTGCAGCACACAAACCAGAAGTTTATGGTATTGTTTCATTATAGATCACAATCCTATAATCAAGTGGACATATCCCGGGTTTTATTACAAAAAGAAGCTGAATTTATTTTCAGATTACATATGCTAATTCCATTAGATCTGAATCAGGAATTAGATTTCTCTTCCTTATTATAAACAGTCAAGATACCTTTAAGATAGAATAAATTACCTTAAACTAAAAC